TTCAAAAAGTGAAATTTAATGGCTTTAAAAGCTTGCACGAAGTGGTCGCGTGGGGTTTCCTTTAGTGAAATCACTCCTGGGTTTCACTGCCTAAGGGCTGTCCCTTTATGGTCAGTATGAAAATAATGTGGCCACCGGAAATACCAATTGTACAGCTCACTTTTTCAGTAGTAGCGTAATCGGCTTCCAACACACTCATCTTGAAACAGAACTTCACAAAAAAAAAGAGAGAGAGAACTGAACTGACTTTTACGCCTTTTTCTATCACGGACAGCAGTAAAGTTTTCAAAAAGGAAAAGAAACAAAGAAAATAATCTGCAAAAGTGTAACTTAGTAGAACCAATAGCAATAATCCCTTTCTTTACCAGACTTTTCCAGCACATACATAAGGACTTTTTCCAGCACATACATAAAAAATGGAAATTCGTAAAGACACTTCGGCTTCCGGCAGAAGTTTCTTGCACTTAAATCTGAAGCGCCAAAACAGCACAGCATATATTCATGTTAGAGATTTTTCTTAGAGCGCAGAAAAGACAGGGACACGCAGAGAGAAGGCACGAGAATTTTTTTTTTTGTGCACACTACGAAAAATCTTCAACATGAATTCATAACAACTTGCCCAGCTATTAGTTTTATAATATATCTTATATACTGGTTATAACAGAGTAGAATGAAACATGCTTGACGACTGTTACAAGCATTTCAGAAGCCGGACGACGAACTAGGCGATAGCAGCTATAGATGCTACGTCACGTAAACAGCTTTTCAGACTGTCCTAGAGAATGTACAGACACGTCAGAGACTCAATTAAACCTGACAACAGACTACTTGCAGGAAAAAGGAAAGAAATTTACGAGATGAGGAATGTGAATCAGCGTTATTTAACATGTCCAACCGATAAAGTGCAATAAAGCTAGTGTAGTACGCAGAACTCTCTCATCAGCGCACAAGTCAGTGCCCCCTACTGCACTCATTAGGCTGTTATTCTTTGACCTAGTGGCCGTGTTTCACTGATAACAGATGCCATAGGAAAAGGAAATGTGTTTCATGACAAGGACTTGAGAGCAGGCGGATCGCTTCCATACTGCTTGTGTTATCTTTATTACCTATCTTAATTTCATCAAGTCTGAAGTATGACAAACAGGCTCTTCAAGCTGCTAGCAACGAGAGCTCATTGTTAACAATCTCACTTTGACAGATTCCAAAAGGTCCAGCTATAAGTGATCAAGTGATAACATTTATACTATGACATGATGTGCCCAATGCATAAGTGGCCAGATGACATTCTGTCAATGGTCTTATAATAGTATTTAAATCTTCACAAATAATAATTTGTTCTCCAATCATGTAATCAGTGTCTATCATGTAGGATAACTAGCCACTACGGCAGTCAAAAAGTCTTCAGGGGCCATGAACTATATCCAGAAAGATAGTTCCAGCAACCTCGAGGCAGTCAAAAATTTGGAAAACTCTTCAGAGGTTACGAACCCAACACTATCTAGCAATACAGTTACAGCAACCTCCAAACAGCCTTTATTTCCCCCTTGAAACAGCTTAAAGGGACCCTAAAGATAAAAAAAAACGACTTGATTGAGATTGACAGACTGTACTCTGTGAACAATTAATGCCCTATGTTTCACTATTGTAAGTTCATTATTACAGAAAAAATCAAAGTCAGTTACATTTTTAATATTCCCACCGAAATCTACACCCCTGATGTCAAAAAGTTCAAGAAGTGTTTCTCATATTTTAGCGACATCGGTTCAATGAAATGTTCTAAAACTTCGTATGCTAGGTTCCTCACATCCCTGGATAACAATTTATTTCATTCTTATCGATTAGAAGCTAAATAGGACCCAGTAAACGCTTTCGAAAGATGCTGACGTGGGAATACCAAGGTGGCGTTTTACTCCACATTTCATTTTTCCTAGTTTTCTCGCTTTCAAGGCATCAGGTAGTGGTAAGAGTGGCATTTTTGGGATTACGAAATTGTACTTTACAAACACACAAAAAATCTTTTCGCTCTTTAGTGTCTTGCTAGAGAGCACTAGAAACATTGCTAGAGAGCACTAGATGACAGAAATTTCAGGGCCTCTCCGATATGATGTCCCTCAATATTAAATCATTGTTATAGAATGCAAAACCCCAACAATTATATTACAGTTTAGTAGGCAACCAGTTACTGCTACGCAGCAGACAGGCAGCCTCAGGCCCAGCAATATGAGTTTAACAACAGAGCCCTGCAAACTTCGGCCACTATAAGGCAACTATTCCACCGTAACTTTATCCTAAATTTGCTATTAGCCCTCCCAAAATTGTCGAACTTGTGCAAAATCACCATGCCACTGCCATTACACCTGTCAATCAAATGGCAAATGGAAACCACAAAGCTGCAACATTAAAACGATGAGCACAAACACAACGGCAAATGATGTAAAAGAAACTTGAAAAATTCTGTGAAACAGCCAAAAAGTACCAGCCCCCTTCTTCAAACTTGAGGAATAGAGGCGGCAAATTCCATTTTAATTTAAAAATAAATGCCCTACGACCATTCCATGATCTTAAAAAAATATAATTATGGGCTAATTAATTTGCTCGCTTGAACTGGCTTTGAATAATCTGTGCCGGAACAATTGGCAGGAAGCTATCTTGGGTCACTGCAGACAAAAAGAGTCACTCGAGTATCTTAGGTCACTGCAGACAAAAAGAGTCACTCTCGAGTTATTACAAAAGTTTCAGCTTTCTTCTTCATATTAGCAAACTGTTTAGCATACTAAAGCATCACGTGTTTTTGCAGCCTTCAATGCACCCTGCCTCCCTCGTTATAAGCAAATGGCCATGGCACACATGATTTCGAACAACTGGGGAGCGTTATTGGCAGATATGGAACAGAAAACAAGCTGATCAGCTTTGTATCATGACATCTTTTGTTTACACTTCCCTGGATCAACCCTGTAGAATGGTAACGCCCAATCACAGCAAATCATCAGCGCATTGGTAACGATACATTGATGTTGTCTGCTGCATGTTCTAGCCGGGACTTAATCATGTCGAGGAGGGAGTTGTTCCCTCACAATGTAGATGCAATTGCTTATTGGGCAGATTCTCATTATAGAGCGGTAAGAGAAGTTTTATCAGGCAGCTCTTCATTGCAGAGGAGTCTCAGTGGATCGCAACGAAAAGCATTTTATGATAACCTCGCCAGCTAGCACCATTTCTGGACACCTTAAAAGCGCTACATACCAGTTGGAGATTATTAGCAATGGCTACATGCGGATAAAGGTGTGAATATGCGAGCAACTGCGAGTATATATCGGGTACAGGGGCGTAGCCATGGGGTGGCACACCAGGACCGTGACCCCCTTCCTCTACCCCAATTTTTTTTTCCGGCATGGCATTTGAGAGCAAAAAATGACCACTTCATGAGGGTGCCCTCCCAGAAATCAAGACGGTGTACCCCCCCTCCCCCCAAGAAAAGATTTCTGACTACACGCCTGATGCGGTATAACACCTTGAACGCACAATATGATCACGAGGTGTGTCACAGAAGAGCTCCGGAAATTTCGACCACCTGGGTTTCTTTAACGTGCTGTGCCACACCGATAACTTGTCAATGCAATCTACGGCTGCAGCTCCTCATGCCAGAGGAGTCTTAGTCGAGAGCGAAGGACAATTTCTGGTCACTTTGCGAGCTCCCGCTTTGAAGATACCTTTGAAGCACTGCAGCCCTGCTCTAGATTATCGACAACACTTACACAGCCTGGATCCATGTATGTGCGACCAACTGCCAATGCCACACCATTTGTTCGAAGTGCCAGTGAAATGCAAGGCCGCTGGCCCTATTTAAATTGGAACCTATCTGCCAGTAACAGAATGACAATTTAGGTGTTCCGAATGCCCTTTTCGCACGAGTCTAAAATACTGTTTCCCCAGCAGCCACTCTTGCGCTGTACAGACCGTGCGAACAGCCGAAAAAGCGCGCCAACTTTTTGCTTATCGACAGCATGTTTTCCGGCGTCACAAGCTGATACAGCTAATCTTTCACTGAAAAGCTACTGTCCTATCGAGCCTATATCATTAAGGCAACAACAAGATGCCCCCGCGGTCTACTTTCACAAACTATCTGCACCCGGTATGACATACTTTAACCCCCCCCCCCTTTTTTTATCTCTTCTCAATACACTTAGGAGAGAAGGCGGGGCCATTAGCATGCGCGAAACCTGTGATAACGGTTGTTCCCGCGAGGCAGCACGCCGGCCCGAATCAAGGTCACGCAAAAGAGACTTCGGTAAGCGCGATCCCGTACATCAACCACGAATACGAACATCGCTCACGTGAACATGTCAAACTCTGGCCTCAAATAATCGAAAATCGGCCAGAACGAGCCACCAAAATAAGAGCAATAAGTTACAACGAACGAGTCCAGGCAAGCTGTATCGGTGCACGACTTTCTCCACACGAGGCGAGCTTTCACGGCATAACCGCAAGCTCGAGTTCGCACCGGCGTGCCAAAATTTTCGTTTTTACAGACTATCGAGCTTGTCGCGGCTGAAATGCGTTCCACGATTCGGATCTACGCGTTCAAACAGGCGCGAAACGGCGGAAACCGTTACTTGCCACCCGTGTAGTGTGTCGTGTTCGCGCGCTTGCCTCACGTAATGCAAGTACGCCCCGGTTCAGCACAAACTGAAACCTGTACACCAAAGAAGAAACTACAATGCCGTCCGAAACGACGTACTGCGAGACAATGGAAGCCGTACTACGCGGCGTGCCGCTTGAGGCAGGACGCTACGGTATTTTTCCACCTGCTTTGGCGAGCGCACAGTTTGCGCCGGCATGGTTGCCACGAAAAGGGAACTCGCCACAACATAAGTCGCTTGACTGCACGTGTATCGAAAAGAATGTATATACGAAAGAAAAGAAGACAGCTTTGCGAACAAAAGGAAGGACTGACTGTTGTAGTTGTGCTACAGCATGCGCGCGGACTCGGGCTTTCTTACCTGACACCGGCACACGATCTGAGCCTCGCTGGCTAGGAGATCGACGATCTTCCCCTTGCCTTCGTCGCCCCACTGGGCACCCAGGACTACGTTGGCCCGGCTCTTTGGTTCGGGCGGTGCCCGGTGGAAGGCGTCCGGCAGGTCAGGCACCACCGTTGACGCCGTTGGGACAGCCGAAATTGATGTAACCCGACATGCTGCCCTCGCGGACCGCCCAAATGCGCGCTCGCGGGTTGTAGCCTGGTTGGCCTAGCTCCTCGTCTAGCAGCCGATGGGGGCTGGAGCGGCGCTTTTTAGCTTCTAGAGGGCGCGAAGCGCGAAAACGGCAAATGAATAGCTCGCGCGGGACTTTTGAAAAAGAATATAGGGACAACACTGCCCGCAAAACTTGTGGAGCTCAAATTTCAAAAATGATCAGTTGTGACGCTACCTTGTCGGCTGTTTTAGAGTTATATTACTGAGTAATACATTCATTATTTCGTTATATACTGTGGCGCATAATGACGAAGCAAACGAACACCGGTGCACTGGTTATAGAAACAAGCGCAAGTTCACTTACTGCTAAATTGAACAAGTTTTCCGCAGAGTTGTGAAGACGATTCACGTCAAGTGGGCTGAACTCATGGTTGAACTGATGACATAAAAAAAACTCTTTAAAAGGATGTTAATTACGCACCACGTATTTTAAAGAGAAAACGCAATTTGGCGCACTTCTCAGCTTTTGTGCGGCGTGTGAATTTCTTTTTTGAGCAATAATTTACGTTAAACAAGTACAACGAGGTCCAGTAAGGTGATTTATTGCATAACTTAGGATAAAAATCAGCTGCCATTAACAGCATCGCCACTCATCCACAATATACGAGTGGCTACGCACGTGGTTGGAACGCCTTTAGTGACTGATTTATTGATATGTCGGGTATAACGCACCAAAACCAACATATGAGTATTAGAGACGATGTAGTGGAGGGCTCCGGTAATTTAGACCACCTGGGGTTCTTTAACGTGGAGCCAAATCTGAGCACACGGGCCAGCAACATTTTCGCCTCCATCGAAAATGCAGCCGCCGCAGCCGGGATTCGATCCCACGACCTGCGAGTCAGTTCTTTAGCAACTAGACCACGACGGCGAGGCAACGCGCTAAGTGGGTGATGTTCTCTCGGTAATAAATTTATTAGTAACTTCACAAAATTATTTGCCTGGGCCTAGACCTTTTCCGAAGAGGATCGCACACCTTGTCTCCTCACCGCATTGCTGAAATCCACTTGACTGTGGCGCAAATACGTTTCGTGAACAGGAAGGGAGCAGAACAGACGGAAGGGAAGCTCCGAACTACGAACTGTTAATTGAAAGTCTGAAAAGCATACAGGAGAAAGAACACGTTTCCGTGCATACATGGACAGCCAAAACATTATTCCATTCCATTAAGCTCTTACTAAATATTAATCATAAATTCACTATGCATGATCCGCCCGACTCATGGCTGATCCTCCAGAGTGGATAGGTACCAATTCCCCCAGGAGCATCATCATCATCATCATAATCATCATCATCATCATCATCAACAACAACAACAACAACAACATTAAGCATCCTACCACCCGGTTGTTGTCCCATCCCCTTTCTGGGTGAGTGCCATTCATATGAGGTCAGTATCATCATCACATGTTCGGCTGGTAAAACCATTTTATCTTTAAGTAGCTACCGTGCATTTCCTGGTTCATCCCGCGCGGTGGGTTGCGCCAGGATTTAAACCAACCAACCAACATGACGTGCAGCGATCATGGTCAAGACAACATATTGAGAAATCGCATTTCTGTCGGATGTCGGCCTTGATGGATGACCCACAGCTGATCCTGGAGGTTGGAGCTGCGCAGCCCAGCCGTCCACCGCGCCGCAGATTCATCTGAGGAGACTGCATTTTCTTCGCCTTTAATCGCACATTCCCCCAAAAATGCGCCTACGAGATGCGGGAGTTCAGTCGCGTAATTGCAGTGATAGATATCTGTATATGCTCGTATCCTCCGAACACGGGCATGCGTCTGGTTCCCCTTCCATGAGGCGACGGTTCATCGCGCAGTGTACACCCCCCCCCCCCTCCTTCCTCTTATGTCAATGTACGAGACAGGCTTTACTCCCCCCCCCCTCCCCTTATACCTGTGTCACACGGGAACATTTCAAAGGCCATCAAGTCAACGGCCATCGAAACGCCGAAGCTCCATCGACTCAATAGAGCTGTCACGCTGCTACACGGCAGTCTTCTACGGCCGTTAAGTGGTTCAGGTGTTTCTCGCAAATATTGTGTGGTTTTTTTTCGTGCTGCCATAAGTGAAAGAATATAAGCACACTTTAAAGTACACATGCGTCTAATTTTTGTTGTTGTTGTGAAGACGTTTCAATAAATTGTTTATAGATAATTACGAATACAAGAGCAGGCATTCAACCGGTAGAAGTCGATGCTCTCATCCTGTCCTGTCCGTAGATTCTGTGATCTATCAAACGATTCATGATTGATATGTGGTGTTTAACGTCCCAAAACCACCATATGATTAGGAGAGACGCCGTAGTGGAGGGCTGCGGAAATTTTGACCACCGGGGGTTCTTTAACGTACACCCAAATCTGAGCACATGATCTATAAAAAGAAACAGTCGTCGTTACCGATGCTCAGCAGCAAAACTGTGGCCACGTTTTACCGCTCGTAAACGTTAACACGTTCACGCTGTGTCTGAAGTTTTAACGCAGCTGTGGGGTGCTCCATAGGTACTTCGATAGTCTATTGACTGAATGACCTTTGAAATTGCCCGTGTGGCTGCTCGTGCTTGATAGTTGATTCAGTAGACCATCCGTTCAATGGCCTTCCAAACGCCCGCGTGACACGAGTATCCGATGATTTGGAGAAGCGACCACCCCCATCTCCGTGCGCACGCATATATATATATATATATATATATATATATATATATATATATATATATATATATATATATATATATATATATATATATATATATATATATATTTATATATATATATATATGCTTTTGAGATGAACGGAGTTCGGGAAGGCCTGGGCTCATAACTGTCTCTTATCTTGGGGGGCTTGAGGGGGGGAGAGGGAGGGACGAATACGCCTGAATTTTGATAAACTTTTGTAATCTCTCAGTATTTGGTCATTCTGTCACTCTGTCTTCAGTACTCTACTGGATTTCCATCCCATTGAGACTGAAGAGGACCCTTCTAAGCGGGCGTGGAACGTGAGGCCTCGTGCCATGTGGTGGGCCTCCTCATTGAGGTTCGATAAAGGGGCGGGTAGAGGGGGACGTGTGAGCTCAGAAAAACATATGATGTGTCGATCGTTCTTCCTTCACTTCGGAGGTGAAACCCTTTGGAGGTGATACTGATACCCTCTTCGGAAGCAATACCACCCAGTAATTATTCTCGTATGAACACATATATGTGTTCATGTGAGATTACATAGTATGTGGCACATGTGTCATGATGTTTTTCAAACATTGATGTTTCGAAACAGTGATAGTGATTAAAAGAAAGAGAAACACTTATCGAATACAATTACTGCTGACTTGTAACACACAGAGCGCGTGTGATGAGCCCTTTGAGACTCTTCGTTCACATTTGGGCATGCAGATTGTCGTTGCTAAAGTCCCTGGACTTTATAGTTTTCAAAGTAGAAGAAAAAAATCTAAGGACCTTAGTTTTTGCTACTTGTCTCGACTGGCTAAGTGAAAAATATGCATTAATGTTCTTGCGAATCGAACCTCTTGTGCAAGAAATCTGTCTTCACTTAACTTTATTTTGTGGTGTACGGATTCATACGATTACTTAGCGGAAGGAACTATTTTTGACGACTCGTTCGACGTGCCCTTTTCCGCGAACTTCGTGGAAAGCATAATTTCTACGAGCTAGAAACGAACGTAACCGAAAACACAATCGCCGCATGTGTTTCTAGCCTGATATTTTATTTGATTTGATAAAAAAGCAGACTATATAAAGAATATGTGGAAGTAGATATATCGTATGGATATAACCACGACGAACATCAAGGAATGGTCCATCAAGGCGAAGAAAATGACGATTGAAAAAGAGGTCGTGTTGTCTTTGCCACTCTGCCATCTTGGCTGAAGGACTCTGTGCACTCCATCTACAATCTGTAAATATATTTATTTCTACCTTTGTCTATACTTTCACCCAGTGATACTTGGGTGGAGGTGTTGGGTACCAAGACTACCGTCTTGGTACCGTCTTGGTACACGGAGCTACGCAGCGGCCGACATTTGGTTTCTTCCTATTGGTCAGAAGTTGAGCACCCTAACCGCAACGCTATGGTCCCTAGAATATGCATTCTAGGGACCATAGTCCACACAATATATTCTAAGGACCATAGCAACACCACCAGGGTTTAGGGGTTAGTTATACTCTATATCGTGCAATGTTCAGATTTACGTTGCAACCACGCAATAACAGAGGGGAACATAAAATAAGAAAGCATGAACAGGCGCTGATCAACTGAAGTTTTATTTCGAAAAAGCAAGCAAATATAAGGAACAAGAGAAAAGAGTATGAGACGGGAAAGTGGGAGGGTTTAATATTGTTGCGATGTTGAAGTTCTAATTCATGTAACGAAAACGTTAGTCGCTTTACGCGCTAAAGTAGAACGCCTGCGGTGAATCGGGAAGATGCCGCACTGAATATATAATATAGAGTCTAAACACTTTCCGGTACTTTTTATGAAGAAACAGGAAGTGGCCGGCTTAAACATTTCCGCAACGCAAGAGCCATATTTCTATTCTTTACGCGACAATAGCACAGGTGGGTGCGAATAATGAGGGCGTTTCCGCGTTTAGAGACATCAAAGAGCGAATAAAAGTAAAATATAGGCTTCCAGTTTCCTGTTAACATGCATTTGATTACTCTGTTTTTTTTTTTTGCGCGTGGCCCTTCAGAGAGCGCATCGAATAATATTGCACCGACCTGCCGCTTGTGGCTGCGCTGACTCCCACGTCAAATACAGTGAGATGGAAGAACATCCGACCAATTAGGAAATGAGCGCAGGGTTTTGCTCTTTCATGAAGTTCATTTTCCTGGGCTGCGGGTCGGTGACGCGGCGTCCCATTTAACTGACGCAACTTGTAACCCACATTGCCTCGTGGTGTGAACTCAAGACTATCATCATTATGAATTGGCACGCGCACTCTCTTCGTTGCCGTCTTCATCTTCTACCGCTTCATATTCTGCTTCACTGCTTTAACACGTGCGCCAGTTTGTCCGGCGAGGGATGCAAAAACTCTGATGGGCGAGAGAATGGTTGCAGACAGAGGTACGGAAAGAGAGAGAAACAGAGAGAGAAAGAGACAGATCGAGACACAGTCAGTCGAAGAAAAAAAAAGAAACATGAAAACAGAGGAAGAAGAGAGAGCATACCTAACCACGTACAGTTATGGCCAGACTAGACTTCACCAAGAGCGCACAGGTGCAGTCTAGCCCGGCCGTGGTACAGTATAGTACAACTGAAGTCAAGCTGAAAGACGAGCTAGCTGGTGAAAACACATTTTAGGAAATTGAAGCGCGGACTGTGACATGGACAAAGGCTCGTTCATACCGAAGGCGACGCGGCCAAAGCGGCGATGCGGACCGCGTGGAAAACCTCCTCTCCAGGCGGCGAAAGCGGGAGGAAAACAAGGCGGCAAGCTCGATCGCTTCTCGCGACCATTTTTTTCTACCCGCTAAAGCTCGCCGCTATGTCGCAGCCAGTCGGAACGCCACGTGGTGGAGGCACGGTGGTGTACCTTTGGGAGAAGTATTGCCACGTGAGACAGTGACTTATCCTGCATTTTAAGTTACTTCCTTCTTTAAAGTTTTCTCGAAGAAACAGCTCAAAGGTAAACTGTTTTTCTACTCAATTTCTAATTTATGCACCAATATTTAATTGAGATGGACATTGACAAGCTGGACATGCTAGCATAACCGACAAAAATGCGGCTAGCAGACTACGAAAAGCGTATTCATGATGTGGTGTGCGTGGTGGAAAGAGTGTATGCAGTACAGTGTAGCAAGGGGTAGGGAAGAGAATAGAAGGCGAGTAGGAGGAAAAGGAGGAGGTAAGAAGTTGAAATGGGCGTAGTATATTATAGTATATAAGAGGTGGGAAAGGGGAGTGTGGGTAAAAAGTGGGTAAAGAGGTAGGGAACGCTACCATCTTTCTCGCTGCCTCACACTTCACACCGCAGTGCGTACAGTTGCCCCCGGTGGTGCACATTCTTTTTTCAAGTGTAACGAGACGCGACCATCACAACGTTATGATCCTTTAAGTCGTTTACCCGTCAGTTTTATTGAACCTTACATTCGTCCAGCCACTTCGGTCGTTCAAGATGGCTGGGCGCACTAACGGAGATTGCCACGGGCTCACGCTTCATTCGAAGACAGCAGAGTCACCGCCACGTCCTCACTCCTGGTAGGTGTGAGGCGGACCCATACAACGTCTCCGTCTAGGGACTCCCCGCGGTAGACGTTGAAAGCACGGACGCCCAAAGTGCAAGACTTGGTCGGGCTGACGCTGGGAGCCACGAGTTCCGTCGCCTCGGGGCTCAGCACTACGCTGGGTCTGCTGGTCCTGACGTTATCCTCGACGCAGGCGACACTGACTTCGTAGCCGGTCCGGGGTCCGTTCCACGATTCCGGAGGGAGCCAGGTCAGGTAGCGAGTGCCTTCGCGTTCCACAACGGACACGCTCCGGGGTTTGCTCGGGGCTGAAGTGTAAATAAAAAGTATTTTGTAATTTTGATCTCTAAATGCACATTGTGAAAATTCACGAGCCATTGCCCTGTCCAGAAAATGGGGGCAAGAGAAGCTTTGCGCCTGTGCACCTGACGTGCTGTAACTTTTTTCTTTTTGTTTCTTTCTCTATCTTTCTTCATTTTTTCTCTTTCTTTCTTTCTCTTCATATGATTCCCTTCTTCTTTCTTTCTGCCTCTCAGTTCTTCCTTCCTCTCTTTTTTTTTCTTATTACCAATTGTGTCCTTTCTTCACGCCGTGAGTGGAATCTTCGCCGAGCCAGTTGGTGCGCGATCTGAAACTGAAGGGTTCCAGCAAGTTTCAGACAGGTGTCTAAAAAGACAGGAACGCACAGGAACAGTCTTTTCCCGCGTGTAAGTATTTTCTTACACTCCCGTCTTAAACTTGCTGCAACCTTCCACTTTCACTTCGCCTATGTGCTTATCAGAGCAATACGAATTCATTTTCTGCAGGCAACTACAACGGTATACTGCGTTCATGTCCAGGCAACAATGAAATGTGGCAACGTCAAATGAGTCGTGACTTCGACAAAAGACCATATTGTGATATCAGAAAGGGGTAATTGTCGACAAGAACCGCCATCGAAAGCATCAATTACTTACTTTGAAATAGCGCAAGCAAATACGCATGTGATTGGCGCATTTTCGAAGATCACGTTTCAGCCCATCAGCGCCAGATTTTCTGAGTAGGCTGCCGCCCGAGTCTGTCAGCCATGAAACGCTTCGATTTAAAATAAACAAGGTCATGCAGACACAGCCGGGACCCACGAGCAGCTGCTATAATAAAATCTAATGGGTAATTATTACTCAAAGTCGCGTCGGTGTAAACACTGTTAATACAGTGCGCCAAGCATTCAAGTGTTGGCAACTGTTGTGCAAGAATGTTTTATATGAAAATGAGATCAAGCACAATTTCACGTGAAAGCTGGATAAGGAACACAGGGAGGAAACGAAGAAGGCGCCGCGCTTCAGGGGCACACACCAAAAATAAAGTAACCGATTCCGCCATGCGTTATTAAGTTGCGGTAAGGCATGCTAGTTCAACTGAACTGACGCAGTGGTATTAAGTAGTTTCGGATTGGTATCGCAAATAATGCCGTGAAATACTCAAGACACACTCAGATGTATCAAAAATACACTCGAAAATATATATGCCTTGCGATTGGTCACACTCGAACACATCAATAAGTTTTGGAGGACCTGCGAGTGTTCTGATAGGCAGCACTCTTACAAGAGTATGCGTTCGAGAACTCGTGAAGAACTTACGTTCGGCTGGCGTTTCGAAGGCTGTGTTAGCGCTCTCACCCACTGCAGCGACTCCGATCGCTGTGACTCCTGGCGTGACGGTGACCGCGTAATTCGTCCACGGCTTCAAGTCTACAAGGTCCAAGCCGCCATTACTCGCAGGGACTTCTCGCACCACGTACTGTTCCAGGACACCCTCACCGGCATCCAGTAGCTGTTCTTCGACGACGTTTGTCCCAGCGTCCTCTGCAGGCCTTCGATTTTCGTTCGCGCTCAGCCCAACGCGGTAGTGAGCACCGGCGACGCCGTCGAGCTCTGCCAGCTTCGACCAGGAAACGCGAGCTGATTTGCCAGTCACCTCGCTGACGACCAGATCTTCGACTCTCGGAAGCTCAGGTGTCCAACTCGTACCTAGTGTCACACTGGCTTCGCCTTCGAATTCATTACCCGGAATTTTAAAAACCGGTCGCACAGAGGCAAAAAGAGTGGCGAAATTTCGCACTCCAGGGAAGGTCACTTTTGTGCGACCGCCCTGGACCATCGTGTTGAGGCAGCCTTCGTCAGCGAGTGCTTGAGAACCCACGCATAGAGTGACTCGGTATTCGTGGTGTTCGACTGCCTCCGGGTCTGGGGCCGTCACAGTCCATTTGGCGGACACGTCGCACAGAGAAGGCTTTCGATTGGTGGTCGAGAGGGTGACGTCAGACACGCGTACGAGGCCTTCTGGATAGGTCGTAGTTGTAGCGATCTTCGACGGGCGTCGCACCGTGGTGTTGCCGCTTTGCCAGACCGCGACAACCTGGACGGCGTAAGTGGTGTGGGGCTTCAGCTGGTCCACTGTTATAGAGGATCCGTTGGTGAGTGCGGTAGTCTTGCCCTCGGCGGGCGCGCTGTCCTGGCGGGGTCCGCGCTTCCACCACGACACCTCATAGTGCTTCACAACGTCTTCGTTACTGTCACCAGCGTCGCGAATGTTCGTCCAAAAGGCTTCCAATTTCTTGGTACCACCCGCTGAAACTTCTAGGTGGGGGACTTTTTTCGCAGGTTCTGAAAAGAACGAAAGTGAACGAATCAATAAATCGACCAATAAATAGGCGATTGAACGGACTAATGCCTCATGACTCTGACACTATGGGCAATGCAATTAATACGAGTGACAGACTACACATTAGTCCACGAGGAGGGCGCTTTTTTTGACAAATTACGCGGTAGGCGACAATCAAGTGAACTCCGAAAAAGACAATATTTCTTTGGCTCCTTTTTGAGGGTTGGCTTGCCACTCACACAATTCTCTTACAAGAGATACGTACGCTCTTTGGAGATCATTACACTCTCTTTGGAGAGTCGTGCAATCTTTCAGAGCCTCTATGGCACTTCGGTGAATGCAGCCGTAGCCTAGATGTTCTCTAGTCAAAATACTGTCATTTATTATTCCGGGCAAAACTGATATTAGGGCTAGTTGGTGACACAATACGGGCGGTAGCAACGCAAAAACTCACGCTACGAAGAGAAGGGACACAAACAAGCGCCGACTCTCGAGTGAAGATTCATTGAAATATACAAATTATCTGAGCACATAAGATAAACATACAGAACATGCGCAGAGACGTTGACACGGCCCCTCAGTGGTCCCTCTGCGCATGTTCTGTATGTTTATCTTATGTGTACAGATAATACGTATATTTCAAGAGTCAGCGCTTGTTTGTGTCCCTTATCTTCGTGGCGTGAGTTTGTACGCTGTTACCGCCCGTAATTCCGGGCAACACAACTTTTCTAAAGACTGCCCTCACAGAGAAACACTCATCAGAAAATGATACTTCACGAGCAGATTACACATACACACTACCTGAAGCCAAGGTGCGGACAGTCCTGCAAACCGGCGATGAAAAATTGGTCGGCGAGCACTGCGTCTGCACGCAGACCGTGTGGGTGTAGCCGGGCCTCAGGTTCAGCTGAGTGGTGGTGAGACCCGTGACGCCTTCGCTGCAGTCCGAAGAATTGGCGTCCGCCGAACAGACGTTCGCGTAGACACCCGGAAAGCCACACGCGCAGTGCAGGGGGCTCGGAAGGTGCCTGCGCGTTGTCGATGCACGTGGGAACCAATTCGAAATTGGGTGCGTCTCAACGATGTACAATGATCACTGAGAAGGTGAGTGATCGGTTATAGCGAACTAACTACGAATTTTGGTTAGGCACGACTTGTTTCAGTTGCAGAGCCCCCTCCCCCCCCCCCCCTTCTCAACGATAATCTAATGGGGCCCCTATGCCTGCCCCATACGTTCGCTCAGGCGTAGCCTCTCTCTGCATTGGTTCAAGCGCGGGGTACGGTACTGCATTCAACTTTTGGACGATAACGGCGGCCGAGTACATCTGATCGATGGTGGCTGTAAGTTAGGAGCTCGTAATCGCTTTTCAGTTTTTGCACTCTCTCCAAAGGAATGGCCACCCCTTCAGCCTAGACGATCTGTTGAGCCTCAACAGAAGCCGCCTACACGACCTGTTGAGCCTCAACAGAAGCCGCCTCAAGAACAAGCACAAAATTCTGCAACGGCCGGGAAGCCAGATCATCGCGTGATGGTGATGCTAAGATTATTAGTGGACACCATTCGCATGTTGTTAAGCGACATGAATACACCGTCAGCCAAAAGTGCCCTTCAAGTACTGGACGCGCTTAGTCCAGTACTAGCAGCCCTAGAATAGACCATGGCTAACCCACCACTGTCTTTCAGGTATGAGGTTCGTAAAGCAGCAATACTGCAGTGGAATGCCAGGGGACTGAGATCGCGCATTGGTGACTTTCGTCGATTTGTGTACGTCAATATGTTTCCCGTAATCGTCATTTGTGCACCGAACTTATCGAGTGCAATACGACTCTTGGGATACGAACCTTTTAGGTCGTCTACTGTTACTGAAAGCAGCAAGGTTCTGGTGTACATTCGCCGAGACCTCACTTACATCCTTAAACCTGTACCACCTCATGACGGAAACCAATACGTATGCTTAAGAGTGAAAAAGAGGAGACTCAACATCACTGTGGTTGGCGCATACCTATCACCATCAAGCCGTTTCGATCAAAAAAGACTACGAGACATCATAGCGTTAACTCCTGACCCGTGTGTTATCATTGGGAATTTCAACGCTCATCATACATTATGGGGAAGTCGGAATACCATCATGAAGGGCAGAAGCTTGGTGTCTTGCCTCCGACAACCAACTTTGGTTACTGAACGATGGCAGTCCTACATTTATACGTGGCTCCACATACAGTAGCTGTCTCGACTTGGCTTTTGTTTCGCGAAGCCCAGTGAAACATACTGAATGGTTCACGGATATAGAAACGCACGGGAGTGATCACATTCCAACATACGTCAAGATCAGAGGATTGTCGCCTCCTAAAATGCGCGACATGGTTAAAAGAGTGGACTGGAAAAAATTTCAGTCCCGTATGGAAGACCAACGCCAAGAACACATATCCGATTTACAAGAGGCCGTCAAGAGCACTGTAAAAGAGACTGTGTGTACGATCCCATGCCCTGTAAGAATCACGGACATCGACATAGAGCTGGAGCAGCTTCGAGCCTTGCGACGACGAGCTGAAAGAAGGTACCGGCGCACGAAGGACATAGAAAATTTACGGACGGCTAGACGTATGCAGAAGAAGATCAAACGTCGGTTGGACAAGCTAGAATTCTAACACTGGATTACTTTCCGCGAGTCACTCGACCCTCGTAAGCCTTTATCGCAGATATGGAGGACGGTTAGAGGTTTGCGGTCATCACCCATTCAGAAGTCACCATTCAAGGCCTTAGCCCTTCACCAAAATCGACCAGATGTGGACGTTGCTGAAGAGCTCTGTGCCGGATTATCAGGGCAAACTCCAGCCATCAGCAGCTCACCACTTTCGAGCACTTGTCCACCACCACGTGACTCCTGTATGGACTTCCCGTTCACAATTCAGGAGCTCAAAGCAGCACTCGCTTCAGGCAAACGGACCTACGCACCAGGACCTGATGGAATCTCCTACAGAGCCCTATGCCATCTGGGTGAGCGCGCGAGAATAGCTCTACTTCAGCTATATAATGATTGTTGGCTAGAGGGCACTGTCCCCTTAAGTTGGAAAACTAGTCGTCTAGTACCATTACTAAAACCTGGCAAATCACCATTGGTACTCTCCTCCTATCGCCCGATCGCATTGGCTAGTTGCGTGGGTAAAGTGATGGAGAAAATGATTCTCGGCAGGCTCGAGTGGTACTTGGAGTATCATGAGATCTACCCAAATTCCATTGCTGGCTTTCGACGTAGTCGATCATCGATCGATAGCGTCATCGAGCTAATCACGTACGTTGAACACGAGAAAGGCCATAAGCGTCTTTGCACCTCTCTGTTACTTGACGTCAAAGGAGCCTTTGATAACGTTACACATGAAGCTGTCCTTACTGCACTAGAAGAGATTGGAGTGGGTGGCCGAATGTTTAAGTGGATACGCAGTTATCTCCAAATGCGATCCTATTTTGTGAGTACAGAGACCGGGAACACGTCTACACATTTCAATTGTCGTGGCGTCCCTCAGCGTGGTGTACTGAGCCCCGTGCTATTCAATATAATACTAATCGCTCTCAATACGCACCTACCAAACAATATTTATCTATCAATATACGCTGATGACATCTGCATCTGGACATCTGCGGTAACTCGCCTGCAGTTACGAGCGAGAATACAGAGAGCTGCTACTGCAACTACTTTGTATCTACGCAATCGAGGCCTGGAAATTTCCTCCGGAAAGTGCGCTCTTCTGGCATTTACGCGCAAACCCATGTCGAATTACAGAGTGTCAATTAACGGTCAAAATATACCATATCGTCGATCTCACAAATTTCTGGGTGTCATAGTCGACAGAGACATATCATGGAGCCCCCATGTGTCGTATTTGAAAAAGCGATTGACAGGCATATGCCATCTTTTCAAGTTTCTCGCTGGAAAGACATGGAGAATGCAGCCTAATGCTATGTTAAGACTTTACAGGGTGCTTTTCCTTGGCTTTTTACGATACAGTCTGCCTGCATTATCAAACGCCAGCAAAACAAGTCGACGCATGATACAAAGCGTTCAGGCACAGGCGCTTCGAATATGTCTAGGTCTGCCTCAGGGTGCCTCAACAATGGCGACTATAGCTATAGCCAAAGACCACCTCGTGCAGACCCATATTGAAATTGAAGCTTTGAGGACGCACATAAGGCATGTGGGCCGGACTCCTCATCACCACCTAGCCTTTCTACCAGTAGATAGACCTCATACTTCCTTTTGTCGAACAATAACTACACATGGTGACTCCCTACCAACTGGTTTTACGCCCGCGGCGAGACCTTCAATTCCTCGACGGTGCCTCAAACAGCCAGTCATCAACGTGACAATACCAGGCATCCAGAAAAAACGAGATTTCTCAATACCAGCCCTCAAGCAGCTCGCCTTACTTCTGCTGTACGAGAAGTACCAAGACTGCACCCACGTCTACACCGACGGCTCCGTCCTGCCAAACAGCTCAACAGCGGCGGTCGTTATTCCAACGCACGCCACAGCCATCAAATTCAGGATAGCTCATGCAACCACAACAACGGCAGCAGAGCTTGCAGCGCTTCGCGCTGCGCTGCGTTTCATTAAGGACCAAAGCACGCAACGGGGGACGATTTTCTGCGACTGCAAGGCGGCACTGCAGTCACTTCTGTCAAATCTACGCCATGGTCCACACGAGCAGTTGGTATTTGAAACAGCAGAAATGCTATACCATATAACAGAGAAAGGGCACCACGTTATATTTCAGTGGTTGCCTAGCCACTGTGGAATTATCGGTAACGAACGAGCTGATCAAGCTGCCCGTTCAGCCCATACAGAAGACAACGACCAGTCAATACCTCTCTCAAGGACGGACGCTGCTAGGAGGCTCCGCATTCTTGCTCGCCAACGCTCCATGGCTCTTTGGAATGAGCCTCTCTTTACGCATGCAAGATTATGATCCCTTGATCCAACGTTAAGCATGCAGCTTCCAACAAAATTCGACGAGGCGACGCTACTGCTCTGTGCAGACTATGGTTGGGAGTCGCGTTTACCCGTGCGTACGCGTTCCGCATAGGTATGGCTGACACCGCCGACTGTGCACACTGCGGAGATGAAGAAACAATTCGACATATCCTGTGTGACTGCCCCAAATACAACCTGCAATGACAACACCTTTCTAATAAACTTAACAGGTTAGATGACCGGCCGCTGTCAGAAGAAAGTATACTGCGCCATCGTCATGACTGATCGTCACAGAAGAAAGTCGTGCAAGCGCTACTGGGCTTCTTACGAACTACTGGCCTGTCGGAACGCCTCTGAGTGGACTGATTTTGTGTGTGCGTGTGTGTCGGTGTTTTTCTCTTATTTATTTTTAACTCTCCCTTTCTCATTCAACCCCCTATTCCCCAACCCCAGTGTAGGGTAGCATACCGGATACTAGCATCTGGTTAACCTCCCTGCCTTCCTTTTTTCTCGTTTCTCTCTCTCTCTCTCTTGCATCCAATGATGAAGCTCGCTTTCTTTCAAGATTGACCATTGAAGGGGGGGGGGGGCACTGCTGTTAAACTTGGCCTACTCCAGTATAAATCAGTGCGTACGCTTATCAAGCGTGGGGCCAGAATTTCTTTTTGGGGGGTGGGGGGTACTTGTTGAAGACCTTGTTGAATTATTTATTCAGGCTGAAACAACCCGTTTCTACGAACTTGGGGGAGGGTGGCGGGGCTAGGATACGCTTTTTGGCTACGGGCCCAACGCTTATGGCGAAGCACCAACGGCAATACTAGCTTTAAATGAAAAAAACTTTCGCCCCTGCGGGCACGAGCGTGCCAGTATGCAGGTATACTCACTCCGTCGCATTCCATCTGAACGTGACAAAGTCGCTGCCGACGTCGACCACGTCGACACTCGAAGGTTCCGGACAAGACGCAGCCTGCGGGTAGAGAATGCATGAACGAAGTGTAAAGTCGTCAGCAGGCTGAAATCGAACGCTCCGCGGCGTGGGCAATGGTTTCACTGAAACCCGCCGCGAAGCGCTGGCCGCTGCTGCCGAGATAATACATTGGCATGCTTGGACAGTACGTCGGCATGCATTGCTATAGCATCTCGGCAACAAAATCCAAAGCTAAGCGGCGCTGGCGTCAATCAAGTCTTTTCTGGACATGCTACGGAGCATTCCAGTTACGCTTGCCGACGACTAAAGATGCGATGCAGAATAACCGATAAGTGGGCAAGTTATTTGTGACTGATGATCGTAATGATGACGATGGTGATGATGCCCTTCTTCTTGATGGTGCACGTGCATAAAGGGGAACTGGCCAAGTACTGAGAAGAACCAAGTGTTGGACGAGTAGGTATGCCATTGTGGATGGCTTGTCTGTGCTCTGTTGCTTCTTGTCCGTTTTGTTTTTGTTTTGCGCAAAATGCCATCGTATAACAGTTACCGAGTGGTGCAATATGTTTAAAGGCACGGTAAAATGAAACTACGAATCCTCTTAGACCGATAAATTTTACTTTTAATGCAACGATGTCCTTAATATAACCATCACAATTCCACAAATGGTGGGGCAATTGCAGGTCAAAGTTGCATTTGAAAATCTAGAGCCGAAAACTCCTAGCGTGACGTTACGGGATTTCAAAGTGTATTATTCGTATTTGGGGGACATTGGCTTCACGAAACTCGTTGAATTTAATATAATAAGCCTCCGGCCCCATCAAAGGACAGCGTACCATGTTTTTACCAATTAGGGACGACGTAGGCCTTACCAGACGACATCTACGAAGGCACGGCAATTGGTGCGGGAATTTCAAGGTGGCGTCGCCACACTCACTTACTTGTTTGCATTTTCTCTTTCACCAAGCGTCTTCTCGTGGCATTCGGGTATTGTTAGAGAGTAATAAACAGTACGAGAACAATCGTTTTCCTGTTTAGTATCTTTTCAAGGTTAAGACGCATCGATCTAAGAAACAGTGAAAACTTAGGTGACTAAATGAAAATGCCTAGCAAGCAAGCGGCCAGAGCAGATGGGATATATAACACAAATAGGGAATATTTTGGAACTAAAAGTATAACGCAATCAAAGTCGACTGAAGGGCCAATTTTTTTGGTTCATTTATGTAATCGAACACAACATATGAGATATCCCTGTGGCTATAACCTAATGAAGTGCCGACATATGATAAAACTAATGTGTCTTATCGCTAATACTACATTCTATATAATTTCTATAAAAGTGGAGCTACAGATACCTCTTTCTCTCCTTAGAATATCGACGACTCAATAATTATTGAGTGCACATGCCCTGTCTTTTTCTCATTCCTTGCGTATTCGTTCCTTAGCACTACTCTGTCATAATAATGTATCGAAAGGATGCGCAGACGGGCGTACGTATCCGCCAGCGCGGAGATTCGAGATCTGGTGATGCTGTCAATTGGTAACATTCGTTGTGGTAGATAAACGAATAAACTCTGTTTCGCTTTTGTAGCGTACTAAATAGGGGTAGTGTTGCGTCTTTACAGTATGCACCAGCTGTCCGTAGTCAGAGTTAAAAAATATGCAGTCACACTCACGACTTCACGTTTCCGGCTATCGCATGAAGCCACATAGCTTGTTTGGTGTTCCGCTTAATTGCTTAAATAGGCAAGACCAATCAGGCCACTTCTGAAGCAATGAGGCTGGGCAAACAGTTTATATTAAAAAAATGTACACGGGTTGGATAAATGCCCAATTAGATAGTCTATAACATTGCCTCTAATAAGTATCAGTGTTTTGGTGCTTACTACTGATTCTCGGGATATTTCCGCTTTGATGTAGCTTGCTCAGGCCTTATGACGTATGGATGAGTACAGTTCATATAACTCGCGATTCGTCACATGTGACGAATCTGAACAGGAGACAAGTCATCAACACAAAGGTACTGATAACGAAGCACTCACACGTGTCAGCTGGACGGCTGCTAAAAGACACGCCGTGGATACGAGACACATCATTTTGTTGGTTTCGAACGGCAACATAGTCCCGCTTCTTCAGGGCTTCGTGGCCGGACGAGGGTTGCAATCACGCACTCACAGAGTCGACGTGCGTATCGCGCACATGTCCCGCAGACTGGAACTAACGTAACCCTTGCACACCCTGCAGGCTGTCTCGGAAGTATGCCCGAAGACCTGCTAAGACTCGGGACGTCTTATTGCCGTCTCGCGATGACTCTACGTCAGCGACTTATATCAGATTCTGCCGTGCGAGCACGATAAAAAGTCTGAAGTGTGCCGGTTCATTGACAAGTAGGTCGCTGCTCTCGTATCGTTTCCTCGCAGCAAGCACTCGAGGAGGCGGAACTGCAAGGGCGAAGGGATTGGCGAACAAGAAGAAAACGCTCTTCAGAGTGACGTTCGTAGGTGAGGCAAGAAGGAGCGAAACAGTGGTTCCCTGCCGGGATTTCAAGCAGTTGTACGAGGATTATTAGTTGTCTGCATGTAATGAACGTTTTCAAACGAACGTGGAGTCAACTACAACCTAAAAATAAGTACGAGCCTCGCCCAGAACCACGGTGCATTTGAAAATCACCCATGTGAGAGAGAGAAAAAAAAGAAAGGAAACAGCCATGGCTACAAGTGGCGCTGATTGACCCTCCGAAGTTAAAATGCACAGATATATACTCGACAAAGGGTACGGGAGGACGAGCGCCACCGTTGCTCAACCGGCAGAGCATCAGACGAGTTATTGAAGGCTGCAGGTTGGTTCACTGTCAGCGACATGTTGTCGTTTCGTGAACTTTAATCTCTTCACAGCAAAGGGCAGCGAAGCCTTCGAATCAGAACTCCGCTCACTGACTCTTATGATTATTAATTTTCGCTACTACTATTTCTACTACTATTGCGATTACTGCTACTACTACTGCTAGGGTTAAGGCTTGGTAGTAAAAGAATACAGCGCGAAAACGACAAGTAAGAAATAGAAGAAATAGGACAGAGCGCTGACTTACAGGTGATATCCCCTTTGGAATGTGGACACATTAATACCATGGGAGGCAAAACAGACTTGACTACCACAATAAGAAAAGTCCCTCTGAAGTCTTTGCTTATTGTGGGAGTCGCTTGTGTTTTGCCTGTCATGGTACATATGCGTCCACACTCTAAAATAACGATTAGCCGTTAGTCAGTGCTTTCTCCTATCTCTTCTGTTTCTTCCTTGTCGTTCTGGCGCCGTTTTTCACTCCTGCTGCTACTGCTACTACTACCAGTCTTGCTACTACTGCTACTACTACTACTGAGGGCTGAGTGAAAGGAGGAGAGGTGGGCCCCTCTTCCTTTCCAAGTAGCAACCCAGACGTCGACCATGATATGCTCTATCGTCGGCCTGCCGCATTAAGCGTACGTATACTTGTTTGTCGGAGCTGAGGAGCACGGTCTCCCACCAACGTCCGTCCGGAAATTCACACTCTCATGGGAAGGGGAAGGAGGGAGAGGCTCCGAGCACGTTCAAAGTTTGTGGCTCAAGTCTAACGTGTTACTGCTAAGGTCACACATGTCCGAATTTCGGTGCTCAGTAATTGATCGTTAATCGACTGAGGAACGTCTGAGTCTGAAGTATAGGCGCCACGCTACTGGCTGTCTTTTGTTCAATTATGCGTGCGCTGGAAGATAAATTCTCCTGCTTTGCCCATGACAATTTCACCTTCCAGCTCGACAAGGCCAATCCAAAGGATTGGTGGTGCGTCTTCGAGCTTTCTGGTGCGCAGACCTATTGCTCTAAGGAGGAGTGGGTGGACACCAAGATGTCTATTGTTCGCTGGACTTTGTGTTCAGCCAATATCTTTGGCGCAATTTTCGATAAACGCACTCGTGAAAAGATTTTCACAGTCTTCTGTGGGTCACTAATGCTTAGTGTGGTTGAGATGGAGGCTACGGCTAGTCAAAGGGCTGCTTACCCCGCCATTGTTGGTCCGTCTGTCCAATGAATCAGCCACCGGCGAAGGCCCTTGCTCAACGCCCATCCATTTTGATTGCTGTATCGCGCTAGTTGCGGAATCGCGTCCAGGCACGTGCACTCACTTCGTAGCTGACGAACACAACAATCTTAGAAATAAACCTCGTTTTACTTGTGGTGTTGGCCCGTGTCTGCTATACGCCACTTCATTGATCTTTTGGCTGCACTCATACTTGTGAGCATTGTCAATAAAAAAGCAAATATTACGTACATTTGAGGCACAACATCAATACGTAGGTATAAGGTAGTGCGTTTATTTAGAAAACGGCACATTCAGGTAATTCTAAAGACTGCCATGCCATTTTTTTTGGAAGCACATCCAAGCAGTCACACGTCTGTGTGATAGCGCGCATGCTTGCCACTTAAAAGGCATGAGCTCGATTCGAATTTGGACTGAAGCTTCTATTATTTAAATATTTGCTTCTATCTCAACTTTTCGTGCAAGAACAATGCTGATTTTTTTACCACAAACCAAGACGCCGACCCCCGAATAACTGCGAAACGAGCTCCTTAACGCAAACGAGTAAAAAAACGAGCAGCCATGTTAAAGGAAGGGCTCGGATGGTCGCCCAAGACGTAGAAGTTTCAACACATCCGTACGTTTGTGGCACATGCCAAGTCCGCGCCAGAATTTTGATGACCAC